GCCCGGGGCCATGCCCGGGGTTCATGCCCGGCCGGTCACCCGGTCGCCAATCCGGGCGTGACATCGGGACCCGGGCGCCCGGGATATCTCCCTAGCTTACCATGTGGTATGTAGTATATAACCCTACCAATGGGCTTAGCTCACTTGGTACACCCACAAACTGTTGAAATGCAGACCTGAGTTCGAAAAACTCTGAATCCTGATGGAACCAACAAAATTTCTGAATTACCTGCGGCCGGTCAGTTTCACAATGATATCTCAAGGCTGTCGCCCTTTCTTTTTTTATTTTATTTTTTATTTTAGTATATAACCCTGGCTGTCTGAGCGGAAAACCGAGCAAGCAGATGTGTTGTTGACGACAACACATATTCCATAAACCGTTGTTTTCCTATGTGTCCAAACATAACAGCATAAATGTGATGCTCAACAACAGACATCAACAACACACTCTCTATGTCAAAGCATAAATGTGATGTGCAACAACACACTCTCTATGTGACGGCATAAATGTGACTTTCAACAGCAGACATGAACAACACACTATACCGACAAAATGTGACGTTCAATGTAGGACATCAAGAACACACTCTCTATGTGACAAAATGGACGTTCAAGAACAGACACCTGCTGTGGGGGGGGAAAAAGATGGGAAAAGAAGAAAAGAAAAATGGAGAATTCTTTGAAAAAAATTGAGAAAAAACAAAAAGCATACATCCGCTGTGTGGCTATGGTCCTCGTCATGACACCACATTGGGCCACGCTCCACTACTCAGCAACTGTGCGAAATGGGAATGAATCTTCCGCTTGAAGGAAAAAAGAAAGAAAATCAAAGAAGAACAAATAACGCATTCGAACTTCAAAAGGGCAAGTTTGAAGGACATTTCACTGCTGGTCAGGGCTGGATGTTCTTTTTTTCTTTTTTTAAGTGGTAACTTGTGGTGGTGGATAGAAGACTTCCCATAAATGAGAACTGAAGAACTAAAAGGGAGGGTAAGGTGAAAAGAGAAAAGAAAAAAAAGAGGGTAGGTAAGGTCATAGACAGTGGGAGAAGGTAACGGTTTGTGGGGCGCAACCAGATTTGGGGGGCCAGGCGGAAAAGAAAGGGAGGAGAGAACAAAACGGAGGGGGGGGGGAAAGTGATTTAGGGGGGAAAGGAAGGAAGGGCAACCAGATTTAAGGGGGCAGAGGGGGAAGAAAGGGACGGGGAAAAAAGCGAGGGCGAAGGAAAGGGACAGGGGCAAACAGATTTAGGGGGAGGTAAGAAAGGGAAAAGGGCCAACCAGATTTAGGGGGGTAGGGGGATAAGAAAGGAATAGGGGGCAACCGGATTTCGGGGGGCAGGGTGGGAAGAACGGGAAGGGGGGAAGAGGGATTCGTGACGACTCCACGGTAGTGAGATTTACTCTTATGGAACGACTGATCGTGAAGGCAGGCCACTCACCTCCCACAATCTCTACAACCATGAACAGAAAAGCAAGGCATATTGCACAAATGAGTTTTTTTCGAGCGCGAGCTCGATCTAACAACTCGGACTCCGTTGCTTTCCCTCCCGATAGCAGGCATTGGTCTTCGCATGACAACTCACACCTATCCACATCTGCACCACACCACAAATCATGAACAGATACATGAGATACTTAAAATTTTAAAAATTCAATACTAAGTTTGGACCTGCTTGGTTGATGCTTTTGAGTCTGGTTGATGCCATCCAGTCACCTCCACTTGCACCCCTTCTTTCTTCTTCGTTCTTCTGCTTTCCACTAGCACCTCTTCTTTCTTCTTTTTTCTTCTTCCTCTTCTGCTTGGTTCATAAAAGTACTTGTTAAAACTTAAAATGTACCAAAGAAAAACAACCATCGCAGCTTCTAGCACGGAGTTGCGTGCTAGTCCTGTGGTCACCCCTGTATATATATATATATATCGTCACAAATAGAACTTCCCGGTAAACCGTAGGCAGAGAGAGAGAAGAGGATATATATATATATATATATCGTCACAAATAGAACTTCCCGGTAAACCGTAGGCAGAGAGAGAGAAGAGGATATATATATATATATATATATATCGTCAAATAGAACTGCCCGGTAAACCGTAGGCAGAGAGGGAGAAGAGGACAACAAACGAGGGGCTGTGACAAACTGTTTCGTCAGAGTTTCACCGACTCATCAG